CGTAGGCCATGGTTTGCGTTGCTTCCGCCTCATGGCCCACCGACACGCGAAAAGCCGAAAAACATGAAGGGATCGCCCGAATGGTACGAAACCTTGCATTCCATCTCAATTTGGTGTCAGATTAATGGATGAAAAAATTCAGACCGGAACTCATTGCGTAGCCCGACGTTGGCTTGCTTTCCGCCCCTTGGAGAAACCGCACACGCACGCGTTCCGGTCGGAAATTGAAAGTAGACCGAGGGCTTGTCGAAACGCTACGAAACTCCTTGGACACTCTCAATGTGTTATTTGGGAAGTGCATGCAAAAATCCATCGGGAGATTATTCCCCTAAGGCGCGTTTGCCTCCGCTCCCGTCGGAAAAACCGCACGGGGGCCCGTTCGGGCCGGAAATTCAAAATTGTCGAAACGCTACGAAACTTTGCAGATCCCTTCTATGTGTTATTTGGGACTTCCATGCAAAAATTCATCGGGAGATTATTCCCCTAAGGCGCGTTTGCCTCCGCTCCCGTTCATGGAGAAACCGCACACGCACGCGTTCCGGTCGGAAATTGAAAGTAGACCGAGGGCTTGTCGAAACGCTACGAAACTCCTTGGACACTCTCAATGTGTTATTTGGGAAGTGCATGCAAAAATCCATCGGGAGATTATTCCCCTAAGGCGCGTTTGCCTCCGCTCCCGTCGGAAAAACCGCACGGGGGCCCGTTCGGGCCGGAAATTCAAAATTGTCGAAACGCTACGAAACTTTGCAGATCCCTTCTATGTGTTATTTGGGACTTCCATGCAAAAATTCATCGGGAGATTATTCCCCTAAGGCGCGTTTGCCTCCGCTCCCGTTCATGGAGAAACCGCACACGCACGCGTTCCGGTCGGAAATTGAAAGTAGACCGAGGGCTTGTCGAAACGCTACGAAACTCCTTGGACACTCTCAATGTGTTATTTGGGAAGTGCATGCAAAAATCCATCGGGAGATTATTCCCCTAAGGCGCGTTTGCCTCCGCTCCCGTCGGAAAAACCGCACGGGGGCCCGTTCGGGCCGGAAATTCAAAATTGTCGAAACGCTACGAAACTTTGCAGATCCCTTCTATGTGTTATTTGGGACTTCCATGCAAAAATTCATCGGGAGATTATTCCCCTAAGGCGCGTTTGCCTCCGCTCCCGTTCATGGAGAAACCGCACACGCACGCGTTCCGGTCGGAAATTGAAAGTAGACCGAGGGCTTGTCGAAACGCTACGAAACTCCTTGGACACTCTCAATGTGTTATTTGGGAAGTGCATGCAAAAATCCATCGGGAGATTATTCCCCTAAGGCGCGTTTGCCTCCGCTCCCGTCGGAAAAACCGCACGGGGGCCCGTTCGGGCCGGAAATTCAAAATTGTCGAAACGCTACGAAACTTTGCAGATCCCTTCTATGTGTTATTTGGGACTTCCATGCAAAAATTCATCGGGAGATTATTCCCCTAAGGCGCGTTTGCCTCCGCTCCCGTTCATGGAGAAACCGCACACGCACGCGTTCCGGTCGGAAATTGAAAGTAGACCGAGGGCTTGTCGAAACGCTACGAAACTCCTTGGACACTCTCAATGTGTTATTTGGGAAGTGCATGCAAAAATCCATCGGGAGATTATTCCCCTAAGGCGCGTTTGCCTCCGCTCCCGTCGGAAAAACCGCACGGGGGCCCGTTCGGGCCGGAAATTCAAAATTGTCGAAACGCTACGAAACTTTGCAGATCCCTTCTATGTGTTATTTGGGACTTCCATGCAAAAATTCATCGGGAGATTATTCCCCTAAGGCGCGTTTGCCTCCGCTCCCGTTCATGGAGAAACCGCACACGCACGCGTTCCGGTCGGAAATTGAAAGTAGACCGAGGGCTTGTCGAAACGCTACGAAACTCCTTGGACACTCTCAATGTGTTATTTGGGAAGTGCATGCAAAAATCCATCGGGAGATTATTCCCCTAAGGCGCGTTTGCCTCCGCTCCCGTCGGAAAAACCGCACGGGGGCCCGTTCGGGCCGGAAATTCAAAATTGTCGAAACGCTACGAAACTTTGCAGATCCCTTCTATGTGTTATTTGGGACTTCCATGCAAAAATTCATCGGGAGATTATTCCCCTAAGGCGCGTTTGCCTCCGCTCCCGTTCATGGAGAAACCGCACACGCACGCGTTCCGGTCGGAAATTGAAAGTAGACCGAGGGCTTGTCGAAACGCTACGAAACTCCTTGGACACTCTCAATGTGTTATTTGGGAAGTGCATGCAAAAATCCATCGGGAGATTATTCCCCTAAGGCGCGTTTGCCTCCGCTCCCGTCGGAAAAACCGCACGGGGGCCCGTTCGGGCCGGAAATTCAAAATTGTCGAAACGCTACGAAACTTTGCAGATCCCTTCTATGTGTTATTTGGGACTTCCATGCAAAAATTCATCGGGAGATTATTCCCCTAAGGCGCGTTTGCCTCCGCTCCCGTTCATGGAGAAACCGCACACGCACGCGTTCCGGTCGGAAATTGAAAGTAGACCGAGGGCTTGTCGAAACGCTACGAAACTCCTTGGACACTCTCAATGTGTTATTTGGGAAGTGCATGCAAAAATCCATCGGGAGATTATTCCCCTAAGGCGCGTTTGCCTCCGCTCCCGTCGGAAAAACCGCACGGGGGCCCGTTCGGGCCGGAAATTCAAAATTGTCGAAACGCTACGAAACTTTGCAGATCCCTTCTATGTGTTATTTGGGACTTCCATGCAAAAATTCATCGGGAGATTATTCCCCTAAGGCGCGTTTGCCTCCGCTCCCGTTCATGGAGAAACCGCACACGCACGCGTTCCGGTCGGAAATTGAAAGTAGACCGAGGGCTTGTCGAA